AAAAACATTAATTCAGGGCCGGCCCGGTGGCTTAGCAGTTAAGTGCGTGCGCTCCGCTGCTGGCGGCCCGGGGTCGGATCCCGGGCACGCACCGACGCACCGCTTCTCCGGTCATGCTGAGGCCGCGTCCCACATACAGCAACTAGAAGGATGTGCAGCTATGACATACAACTATCTACTGGGGTTTTGGGGGAAAAAATAAATAAATAAATAAATTAATTAAAAAATAAATAAATAAATAAAAATAAAAACATTAATTCAAATATCTCAAAAATCCAATTCTTTACAACTTACTTGAAATAATTTTTTAATAGGGTTCCATAACACACTAATAAGTGTACTAAATGTACCGAGTCCCTCACATATTCTCCTCTGACTCTTCTTCAAAAAAAGTCAAGTGGTGATTATGGCTATGTAAAAAAATATAAATTTCTCTAAAAGTGGATCTTGAGTACATTTGAAGTATGCCGACTGGAAATGAAAAAAAAACGGCAATGAATGTGATTTTTCCAAGGTGGAAAAGAAGCATTCATAAGAGTTCAAGAATAAGTCGTAATGAATCAAGGGATGGTGTTATATTTCTGCTGAAAGGTTAGTTTACTCCTTGTTAAGTTCCTGACTTTCCCTGTCAGTGAGCTCAGGCTTCTTGATTTCACTCTCCATTTGCCAACAGATGCAGCTGGAACAAAGGTTTCTTTTCAGAAAAGCGGCATTGAGTGGCGGATTTTACACTATTCCCTCTTTCTCTGTGCATATGTTCCTCCTCTATCTCTCTCTCTCATTGTCATCTGACTCTTATCTTCCCTCCTTTTTTTCTCTCCAATCTTCTCACTTTCTCTTCAAACACTTCTTATTCATTTACCCCAATGTCTTTCTTTTTTCCTTTACTCCCCATCTATATTCACCACCTGTCTACTTTATAATGCACTTTTCTTTTCACTCATTCATTATTGAATCCTCCTTTCTTGTCACTGCTGCTCCCACCCTCAGCTGGCCATCACTTTTCAAAATCTGTACTTCAATGAGCAGCATGTCAGCGTGTGTGTTGGAGGAGGGAAAGCAGAGACAACATTCAGTGTTTTTTTCCAACTTCATATTTTCCCCTTTCAATAATTTCATCATCAGCTGTTAAGAAGAAAGACACCTCTGTTCACTATCATGTTCTCAGTCTTCATTCCACCTCTTTAAAAAAATGTCATGATTTAATTTAGTGAACAGGAGCTAGAGACAGTACAGAGGGCATCAGAGCACTTAGTAAAATAAACTGGACTGAGAGAAAGGAGTTTTCTTCTTAGGCCTTGGAGATGAGTCACCAGGTTAAAGGGAAGAAGCCAGGTGAGAAAAACAAGAGGACGAGCTGAACTGGATCTGGGACGACTTAGAAGAGGCAGAGGCATCCCATTTCAGTTACCAATCAAGAACCAAGCTAGAACCAATCTAGAACAAGTGAACTTCAGAAACCCCTTGACCAAGAAACAGCCCATGTATCATGGTTGAACACATTAGTGCCTGGCGGAATATACAGTATAAACAAAGAGTTGTTTTCCATCTTATTACTTTAATAATTTTGTAAAATAATCTGAACATGCGTACATAAATACTTGATTTGTTATATGAACGTCTAGCATAAAAGTCCCTGAGACACATCCAAGAATCACTTGAAACGTATTCAATGCAATTATTCACCATACTAATTACCAAGGACTTGGCTCCTTTCCCTGATATCTAAGGCATGTGACACTTTAATATATATAATATTAAATATATAATATATATTATAATATATATAATAAATATAATTATACGTAATTTTTTAGTACTAAATCAGAGTCTCCCTCGCTGGTGCCTGGTTTCCTGCCAGTTTACTGCTGCTGTGTAGTAAGTCATTTCCAGACTGTAAGGAAGGCACATTGGGAGGTGAATTAGATCTTGAAGCCCTAGGGTGCCAGGTAGTAGAATGATGGCAAGTGGAACTAGAAAGTCCCAGGAGATGATTTTGTCCAATCCCCTCATTTTGCAATTCAAGTGACAGGCTGAATTAGTTATGACTTGCACAACATGGCTGGTTCTGCCACTACTACTGTAACCTTAGGCAAATCCTTCAATGGGTCTGGACCTCAGCTCCTTTCTCTGTAAAATGGGCTGGTGATAATCACAGCTAACATTTTTCAGATGCTTCTTATGTGCCAGATGCTGTTCTGAGTACTTTAAATGTCTTATTTAATTCTCCCAACACCTCCATAAATTATATATGATTACCCTCAATTAGAGCTGAGAATATCAAAACACAGAGAGCTGAAATAATTTGCCAAGATAAGACAATTAGAAAATGTTGCAAATCTGGTTTAGGAACCCAGGAATATCGGCCTCCAAAATTCTTAAATTCCAATTCTTAAATCCCTTCTAAGAAACCCCCTCAGGTAGGTTCTCAAATTCCTTATATCTCTAAGTCTAGAGCAGAGTTAACAAACTATGGCCCTTGGGCCAAACCCAGGCAACTCATTTATTTACGAATTGTCAATGGCTGCTTTTGCACTACACAGCAGTGTTGAGTAGTGGCAGCAGAAACTTTACAGCCTGCAAAGCCTGAAATATTTATTCTCTGGCCCCTTACAGAAAAAGTTTGCCATCCCTCCTCTAGAGGCTTGAAAATGTAGAGCATCCTGTAACTGTACAGCATTTTACAATGTACAAAGCACCTTGGACATCAAGGTACATCGTCACAGTTAATCCTTGCTTTGTAGGGACATGCATGCATTGTAAAGGAGGAAGCTTAAACTCAGAGAGTTTAAGTAACTTGCCTAATCAGGGCCACAGGGGCAGAGCCACATACCTGGTTCTGACTCCAAATTGCAAGCTCTTTCCATAAAGCCACTCTGTCTCCCCTAAATTACTGCCAGGGAAGGGCTGGGAGACTGAAAAGAAACTGTGAATACTGAAAGCAAGTCAGACTGTCTTCCTGAGGCAAATATCATTCAAGGTGCACTCATGTAATTAGTCATCAAGTGCTAAAAATATTAAATTAAATTTGTAATAAATTTGAAAGAAAAGTTTATGCCTTAAAGGAAGGGCATGACAATCATAGGAAATACATATTGAAATATATGATGCATTTATATGCATTTTTATGTTAATGTATATGAAATTTTAACCTACTCAATTTAGAATATGAAAAATAAAATAACATAAAATGAGCCATTGCCACATTTCTTTTGCTCTTTGATGAGATTAGCCTAAAAAAAATTCTGTTTGTTCCACACACAAAATTTGCACATGAAAAATGCAATTATACCTTCCTCATGCTAAATACTCAATAAATATGTGGTTAGTTTTAAATAGACAATACTAAGAAGAGCATTAGTAAAATAATGCATAATTATTTAACTGTATGAAAACCAAAACAAAAACAAAAAAATTTTTTTTTCAAAGAAAGCATAGGTGCTTCCTCTTAGTCTGCAAATTCAAGCTCAAGCTAAAGGGCAATGATGATTCTTGAAATAATATGGCTTAGCTTTAGGGACTCATTTGAAATACACAATATGAGGCCTGTTCCTTTTTACTTCATATATATTCTGTGACATACCTTGAGATTTAATTTTTGACATATAAATGGATATGGAGGGCCCCTGAAATCACTGCAAGAAGGAAAAAAAAAATCACTCTTACCAATTGGGAGATAACTATGTGTTAGGCATCTTTACTTACTTTATTTCCTGAGACGCTCACATGAGCTGTGAAGTACTTTCCTTTCCCATTCTACAGATAAGGAAGCCGAGGCTCAGGGTTATTACTAATTTGCCCAAGGTCACACAGCTGGAATTCAAATCTAAGCCAGATTACCTTCAAAACCAAACTCCCACTTCCCCATGTAGATTTCCAATAACACCAAGATCATTGGCCAAATGTCATAAATACTCATTTTAAGAAGAGAATTTTTCCTTTTTCTTTAATGGATGGCTGCTACTTTGTAATTCTGCCATACTGTGATATTTTAAAAAGGAGATTTTATCCAGGGATTTTAATTTCTCCTTTTAAGCAAAAGGGAGAATTGAAGCACCTAGATTTTTGCGAGCTCTGCAAGTGAGTCTGAAACAAATGTACATGGAGATAAAACTTACTTTATGATTCAGCTAATTATACTAATCAAATGCAAAATTACTGTTTACACCAGAACCCTCTATAAACCTAATTAATCTTGGACCCTACTCATAATAATTAGTCACTATGGGTCCTTATTATAATAAATAGAGGAGAAAAAAAACCCCATTATTTCAAGCTTTAAATCAACTGGCTTTCTAATAATTGATTTATGGTCTGTCTTATTAAGAATGTCACTTTAAACAAACAGTTTCTGCCAATTGACTTATCCAAGTTCACTATTTACTTCTTGGCAGTGGTAGACTGTAAGAGCTTTAAGGAGAAGGACCTTGCCTTATACATTTTTGTGTCTTTCCTGGCACCCCAAGCCCAGTGTTTGGCACAGAGTAGGCACATGGTAACACCTATTTCATATGCTGTTCATTCAACAACTTTTAAAGTCAATGCATAGATTTTCACAGTTGTTCCCATGGCACAGTCTCAAGGGCACTAGAAATGTGAGGATACATCATACTACTATGCAGACTAGGAGGAGAACCTGCTGGCCCCAGAGAGAATGGCAGATTTAGCCTTTAACAAAAGACAAAGTTCATTGCAGGCACTAATTTAGTTCCATTCCCTCACAACTAAATATTTAACTAAAAACGGACAGAAACAAAAACCGCCATTAACAGACACCATGAAACTTTTTTCCTTTTGCATGATACCAAAATGCAGTACAATCTCTTTCATTGTTCTGCAGACAGATAATTCCAGCACCCCTGGAAGACTAACATTCCGGTTTAAATTCTGGTCCTTATTTCCACAAAATCATTTTGTGCAAAGTGACACTGTGGCTTCTTTCTCTTCTGTTTGTAAACACAGGCTGGTTTTCTGGGAAGAGGGGAGAAGAATGTTGCTTCTGCATTACTTCCACATCTGTAATTTTAATATGCTTTTTAAAAAATTCAGGTTATAGAAAAACATAGACACAGAAGGAATAAATTAGGAGATGATTATTCACATTGTAAAGGGATTTGCCATAGGATTTCATTAAATACTGAACTCTCATCAAGCAGTGAATCTGGGATTTGATTTGAAAGCAGCTTTTCAGGAATACATTTGTATAAAGTGAGGTACACCGATATATTCATCCTAATCTTCTCCAAGGACCATCAAGCATCTTGTTTCCATTCATAGGGCAGGGGGACAAACAGTACTTGCTAAGGAACAACCAAGGGATTCGTGGACCACCCTCTTCACCTTTCTTAGGAGCTGAGTCTTTGAGGAATTCAACCAACAAAGAGAAAGACCCACTTGTGGCCACAGTCCTTGCACTATTCAGCAACAATGCTCTTGCTAAAACCAGGGGTTTGCTGCACGTTGGCCCCGGAAATGTTGAGTTGAGGAGTAGTGTGTATGAGATTTGGACTGGGCACAGGCCACAAACACGCCTGTGGCAGATGAGGCAACTCAGAGCAACTGACTCAACAGTCTTCTTGTAGCTAAACTACTTCTTCACCTCTGCACTGGTTACAGGGTGAGAAAGGGCCCCCTTTGTCACCCCTCAACACTGATATCCATCAACAACCAAGGGAGCCCAACTTCTAGCTGTGCAAAAAACTTGAGAACCGGGGATCCTCCCCACCCCGTCTTTGTGCTGAATAATATTAACTGGTAAATCACTTTTTTCCCATAGAGTAAAAATGGGTGTTCGGCACGATTCGGCAGTCAAGGAGATGCACGGCAGAGGATCAAAACGCCGACGACCTGGCCTCCCGGGTTACCCCCAGGGGGGCACGGCCTCACCGCTCAAACCAGCGAGCCAAGTTGGGTACGCTCTTGGGCCGCTCCCCAGCCATCTGCACAGCCTGGCAGGCCCGGCACCAAGGCTCGTCCCAGAAGGAGGTGATGTGCACGGCGTAGCTCCGGCGCCAGTAGAAGTAGCGGCGGTAGACAGCTGGGTTTCGGTCGAGGAAGAGCAGGTAGGCGGCCAGGGACGAGGCACTAGGGAAGTCTTCCACGTGGATGAAGGCACCGCGAGGCACGAAGCGCTCGTAATTGGCACGCTCGGGGCCCAGCACCACGGGCACCGCCCCGGCCAGCAACGAGTTGCGCCAGAGCTTCTCGGTGATATAATCCAGGTGCTGCGAGTTCTCGAAGGCCAGGTAGAACTTGTAGCGGGCCACCGTGTGCAGGAGCCCAATGTCCGGCACCGGCCGCCCATGCCCGCCCTTGCCGAAAACGTCCACGGGCACGTGCTGGCTCAGCTGGTGGTAGTAGCGGACCCGGACTTGGCGCTCATCCCAGTTGCTCACCACCCAGGCCACCAGCCCCCGTTTCCGGGCCAGCGGCGGAGCCAAGCCTGGTGGCTGCTCGCCAGGATGGGTCCTGGGGTAGAGGTAGCCATATGGAACGAAGACGTCCGAGTCCGCCCGGTAGGAGAGCGTCCAGTTGAAGAGATTAGCTGCCAGGCTTCGCAGCCCCGGGGAGTGGGAGGGCGACTCGAAGTTCATCCACACCCAGCGCTGGCCCGGGGGTCTGGGGCCCGAGACGGCTAGGGCTTCGGCAGCCGCCGCCGCCGCCGCTTCCTCCTCGTCGTCCAACACCCGCAGCTCCAGCTCCTCTGCCGTGTGCACTTGGACGCCCCAGGGCGGGGGCCAGTCGGGAGGTCCCTTCACGAGGTCTCGGTGGTGGAAAAGCACAGCCTGCGCCTCCCCGTAGGCCGCACGGTCGGTGAGCAGGCGGCAGCCGCTGATGTTGAAGCGCAGCCAGCAGTCGGGGGGCGGCCTCGCGGCGCTGTCGCGCCTCCGGAAGGGCTCCCACCACAGCAGCACGCCCACCGGCCGCGGCGGGGCGGAGGATGCCCAGGGCAGCGGCGGCAGCTGCCCCCAGCAGGCGTAGGCGGCCAGAGCGGTGCACAGCAGGCCGGCGGCCGCCAGCGCCCGGGCGGTCCGTGGCAGCCCTCGGCCTTTGCGCAGCCCGCGCGGCCAGACGGCCGCCCGGCCCCACTGCGCCCCCATGGAGCGCTCAGGCAGAGCCGCCGCCGCTCGCCGCGCGTCCGCAGGCGTGGAGCAGCGGCGCCCGCTCTCATGCTGCCGCTGCGGCTCCAGCCGTCGTTGCCGCTCGCCGCTGGCCCTGGAGCGGGAGAGGGCGGTCCCGGAATCCAAAGGCCCGCGGGTCTGGCTCCCCTCCCCGCGAGTCCCCGCGGGGCGCGCCGCCAGGGCGAGGTGAGCGGGCCGGGCAGCCCGGCCGGGCGCCGCCCCGTCCTTCTCCACTGCGCCCCCAGCCCGACCAGCCCGGCCAGACCCGGGGCGTTTCCTGCTGCACCTCCGCCCACTCCCCACCCCCTCCACCGCGCCTCGCAGGCTTCTCACCCACTACTCTGGATCCCGTCTCAGCGGGTCCCGGGCCTTTCTGCACGTGCCCACCGCCCTGGCCTTGCGCCCGAGCACGCGCGGAGCTCCCCCCACCAGCTGCGCCCCGGATCTCAATCGCAGTGGCCCGAACCCTCGCCTTCCCGAGTGAAGGCCCGGTTCATCCCTGGGCGCGTGCAGGGGGCGTGAGTGCAGGCGCAGACACGGAAGGAAGGCGGGCTCGGGATGCCGAGACTCCTGGCAGGACGGAGGCACGGAGTCAGCTTCCTTTCTCACCGCCCTGCTGCGGCCAGCGACTCCTGCCGGAGGGAGGGAGCCCGAGAGGCTGCGGGCAGAGGCGCTGCCACCGCGTGGGTGACGGTGAGCTCGTGACCCGCCGAGACGGACCAGTTGTGCAGTTGGCCCCCCGCGGCGCGGCCCACGAAGGTGGTGCATTTTGTGAAACCAAGTTTTCAAGGCGCATAGTTAAACCTAACTGTCATAAGAACATTTCCTTTGCCTACCGCCCCAGCAGAGAATAGAGAACAATAAAACGTTTTGTGAGCAATCAAAACACGTTCTTTTCCTTCTCTCCGCCACTGAACACTTCTGACTGCCAGCTCATAGCATTCTTTGTACTAGGGCTACGAGGACTCATAAACCAAAGATAAAGATAGGCCTCTTGAGCTCTTTGTCCTATAGGAACTTCCTGCCTGTTCAGTGAGATCAATGAATGAATCACTGTTAATTTTACCAAGCACGTAAGAAACAACTTAATTTCTGCACTCATGAAGATTATGCAAAACGCTCTGGACTTATAAAATGATGACTAAGATAAATATCATAGCACCCAATTTTAGGCTGTAAAGGATGAGTATCACACTGGCCTCTTCATGATTATCAGTGAGGCAACAATGGAGGCATCTACTTCTACAGTCACTCGAGGAATTTTTTTTTTCCTACAGCTTGAATTTGAATTTATGGGTTTGGGCTTTCATTTGTGTTATTACACTTTTATTCAGCGAAATTCTAAATGGGCCATAAGTGGGCTGCCGACCTAAGAAGAGGAGGCAGTTTTGAGGAATTTTTAGTAGATCACAGCTGTGTATTGGTGGTGCCCCAGCCCAGTGCCATATAAATTACAGAATGTTTGGGGAGAAATAGACTTGCTGGGAATGAGGCCAACCTGTCAGGTGTTTTGACATTACGCATACGGAAAATAAACTTGGGTTTGCTGTTTGGATTTATTGTGAAGAACTTTTTCATTAAAAATCAAGTACAGATTGTAACAGCTTCAATAAAAGTAGTTTCAGGTGGCACGACCTGCCAGCTCGCAGTGACAGTTTGAAAGCTGAATGGATAGCTTTAGGTGCTCTGGCTATACTCATCAACCTAGTGACACTTTCTCCTGCACACTAAACCCTTTTATAATGTTTTTGGGTTTTTTTAAATTTCATAGAATCATTTTCATCTAGTTAAGCAAATTGTCATTGAAATTAAGAATTTCAGCGATTCTCCACTCTGTTATTTTTAATTTTTTTTAAAAAGCTATAAATGCAAAAATAACTTTTTTCAACCAAATGAAGGAAAGGACATATTGGTTTTTCTTTTTATGCAATTCAAATATCTATACATTTATGCACATTCCTCCTCCACTTCAGTTAAATAAGACATCATAAATAGAGCCTAACACTGTATCCAGCATATCATAGGTAGACATTTAGTAAATGTTAACCTGGTTCCTTGCTTCCTAACCCCACTCCCAATTTTCCCTTAAGTCCTCCAGATATTCCAGTTAAACCAACTTTTTACTGGTGAAATGGCTCAGATCTCATGAATATCAGTTTCCATTGTGTCCACTTGGTAGGGTGCAGGACTGCAAACTGTCCCTACTTTAATCTTATCTTGGTGGAAAGAGAGGATACCCAGCAAGAGGGATGGCTGGATCAATGGAAATCAATCACAACTTCTCTACAAACTACTGATTGAAGGCCACACACATTGATTTATTCACAGGACAATGGCTTGTTCTTATTTAAAAGGAATGGAGGGGAGGAAGAAAGGGGAAGAAAGGCTTCAAAGGAAAGTAATAAAGCTAGGTATTCTCATTTATTCATTTAACCAATTGGCAAACTGGGACAAAAAACACTATTTTCACCTTCAAAAATCTATAAGAGAAACAGACAGTGGAGAGGGAAGGGATCTTGGAAGGCTTTGAGGTGGGGACTCCTGGAATAAATAGGAATGATTAAAATGGGGGAGGAAGAGGGCTGAGAAGCTGGTCTAAACACAAGCAGCAGCATACGCAAAGGCCAGGCAGTGAGGACTGGGATGGTGGGTTAGGAATTACCAGCGTTTAGTTTGTCTAAGGAGATGGGGTTTTATCCTGAGGGCTGTGGAGAGTCCTTAAAAGGTTTTAACAAAACAAGGGAGCAATATAATAAATTAGTATTTTTAAAAGCTCATTTGTGAGGGGAGGTGAGTATATGGAAGGGGATATGAGGTAGGCTTCTGGTCTGCTGGCCATGTTTATTGATGTAGGCACTGGTTAATGGGTATGTTTGGCTGAGGAAATTCATCAAGCTGTATGCTTACATATGTACTTTTATATATATATATATGTATATATATATATATAATGCTTCAGTAAAATGTTTCTAAGAAAAAAATCATTTTGTCATCAGTAAAGAATGAGTTGGGTATTAGGGACGAGAATAAGAGCAGAAGTTTCTAGTCCAATTGGAAAGCTATTTCTATAATTCAGAAGTGAAACAAAAAGGGCCTGCACTAAGACAGTAGCTGTGAGAATGGGATTAAAATAAAACTAAAGGAGAACAGATTCAGAGATATTTAGCAGGCCAGTCCCTGTCTCCAGGAAGCCTTCCTGGACACCCATATGCCCATATCCAGGGTAGGTTACTTGCCCCTCCTGTGTGCTCCTATATATACATCTTTCAGAACATCATGGAGCAGGAATCATGAATGTTTCATTCATAACTCCATCCCTAGCATGGAACCAGGCATCTAGTAGTATTCATCATCTCATTGAATACTTGTTGAATGAATGAATGCTCTTAATGTATTACTGAAATGATCTGTCAGTACCTCTATTCCCCACTAGAAAGTGGGTTGGTATCAGGAGAAATTGGCTATGTGAACGACTTGCTGTGGCCTTAAGAAGCCCCTTAAGCTTTCAGTGGAAAATGCTACATATGTATTAATGGGAACTCTGATGAGAAGCATCAGAAACTCCATCAAATTAGGCTGGCTCTCGTTGGCTCAACCTGGACCAGGTGCTCATTCTTGAAGTAGTCACTGTGGTCAGGGGATATGGACTCTCTTTGGACCCTTTTCTGGAGCTGTGGGTAGAATCAGCCCCATTTCAACCTCATGGACTAACAGTGGGGGAGGGTAGTTTCCCGAAGGAAAAAATGAAGTGCCGTTACCTGAAGAAGAGGGAAGGGATGGTGGGCAGGCCAAGACAACATGTCTGTGTAAAGAATTATTATTATTCTAAATGAACTCTAAATCACCTTAGAACTTTAAACATCCTATGATTCTTTTTAATTTGGTAAAAATAAACAAATGATTCTTTGTGTATTTAAAGACCTCTCAGTTTTTACAAAATATGACACAGGGAAGAGCTGGCTTTCAGTTGCAAGCATGAAGACCACAAAGTTGGGCGTAAAGAAGGGCTTTTGGCCCCTGAGGATTGCTAAAGCTGGGTAGAAGAGAGCTCCATAATTCAAAGCTCGTTTTGTCAAGCTGAATGAACAGTCAACTCACAATGTGTCCAAGAATGACCTATTCAGTCCCAAAATTTAATATAGGACAGAATTCTCTGGGGGAAGAAGTAGGCCAACTGTGGTTTCTAAAAGCCTAGCTCATTCTTTGCTCTTCCTCAGGAAAATTGTTCGTTTTAAGCCTGTCCTCGTGTTCCTCACCAGAGACATTTGCCATTTCCTAGGGAAGCCCCAGAACATGTTCTGACTGCCTTAGGTCTTCCCCCCAGCACCATACTCTGTCAGCCTAGGCTCTGTGAGGCTCAATGGCTTGCTATTTTTGGTTGTATCTGAGATTTCTGTGGCTGAACATTGACTTGCCAAGATACTTTCAGTGTTTTTCCTTGAAGGGAGAAAAGGGCAGTTCAAAGTCCCTCCCAGTATTATGTACTTACCGGGAAATGGGGAGCAGCCAGTGAGCAGGTATGGTTGGAAAGGGTGTGTGTAGGCAAATAGGTGGAGATTGTTTCCTTTGTCAGGTACAATTTTTTTTTTTTAATTTTATTTATTTTTTCCCCCAAAGCCCCAGTAAATAGTTGTATGTCATGGTTGCACATCCTTCTAGTTGCTGTATGTGGGACGCGGCCTCAGCAGGGCCGGAGAAGCCATGCTTCGGTGTGCGCCCGGGATCCGAACCCAGGCCGCCAGCAGTAGAGCGCGCGCACCCAACCACTAAGCCACGGGGCCAGCCCTGTCAGGTACAATTTTTTAAGCATGTATAATTGGGCAGATAAGTATGGAAATAATTGTTAGTTAAAAAGTATTAGGAACTGTGTAAGTTCAACAACATCACAATTTATTGTTCATTGCCCTATTAAATCCTTGATGGAAAAAGAAACCTAACATCAACTTATAAGGTCTTTTCTTTTTATCCAGGTGCAAATATTTACCCTAAATATGGTGTTATGAATGGTCAATATGAGAACTTATTATATTTATTTTAGGGTTTTACTCTTTATACACTCAAGTTCTTCCTGGAGTAACTTGTACACTTACTTGACTGAACAAGTACTGCAAGAATTTTGGACATTCAGAAAAATATATATAGTGAAATTTTGGTTACAGTCAGAAATATTTGTATGCTATTTTTAAATATTTGGAGGGTTTACCTCTGCATTCTTCTTGTTAAACTATCCTTTCCTAAAATACAGATTATTTGCAATCACATGTAA